CAATAGATAATTTGTTGTTAAAAAGTTTGGGGGGGGGGGGTGAACTGAATCTCTCCCTCTCTTCTGCAGGAAGGCTTTAAAGTGGACCTGTCGTACTGTACAGCGAAGGCAGTCCATTTTGTTTGCTGGGCTGATATTTTGGAGGGTTCAGGGGATTAGTGGCTGATGGGGCGTAAGTCATGTTGTGGCTCATGCGTCTACTAAGTGGCAACCTTGAGTCTTATTGGCTCGCAGTGATTTCCGGTGAATTGATAGGCCATTTTAAAGGAATCCACCCAGCTTTCTTTTATCTAAGGGTATGTGTGTATGTGTGTATGTGTGTATGTGTGTATGTGTGTATGTGTGCAGTTTGCGTACTGGGCATTTGTGGATGTGCATGCTTGCATGTGTTTGGCCTTCTATGCATTAGCAATGGTCCTACATAAGCTGCAAAGTGATTGGCTGATCTCTCAGTTAAAGGCTTAATGGGTGAATCATGGGTGACCATACTAGAGTATGAAGTGAACTGTCTGTTAGATTGTGATTTAGACTGATATTTTAGTTTTTAGTGCTGGGAGATTGGTATTGGTAGTTTTTGGCCCAGAATTCCCAGTGCAGAGACCATGGCCTACCCCACGGCCCTGTAACACTAACACTAAATCACCCAATAACCCTAATACTAATCCCTCCCTGTAACCCTAACACTAACTCACTCTATTATCCAAGCCTTTAGCTACACTAAAACCCTAATACTAATCCCTCCCTGTATCCTTAACAACATAGCACTAACCCACCCTGTAATCCTAAACCTAACACTAACCCTAACTGTTACTCAACAGTAACCAGCCCTGTAACTTTAAACCTACAACTATCGCTACCTGTAACCCAACACTAACCAGCCCTGTAACCCTAAACCTAAGCCTTCCTGTAACCTAACACTAACCAGCCCTGTAACCCTAAATCTAACACTACTTGTTACCCAACACTAAGCAGCCCTGTAATCCTAAACATAACAGTAAACCTATCCATAACTCAACGCTAACCAGCCCTGTAACCCTAAATCTAACACTAACGCTACCTGTAACCAACACTAACCAACCCCGTAACCATAAACCTAATGCTTACCGTACCTGTAACCCAACACTAACCAAGGCTGCATTCTAAAAACGAACCCGTTCTGTAACTCTAGCCCTACCCTCTTTTGTAACTCCAACAGTAGTACAAACCCTCAAACTAACTGTTTAGATAACGTTAACCATAAAATTAACGCTCCCTATAACCCCAATACAAACCCTTCCAGTAACGCTAACACTAATCATCCCTTTAACCCTAACACTAACCCTCACTGTAACCAGAACACTAATCCTCCCCTGTAATCTTAAACCTAGCATTAATCCTCCCGTAACCCCAACACTAACCCTCGCTGGAAAGTCTTACACTAACCCTCATGCTAACCCTTTCTTTAATCCTAGGTCTAAAACAAACCCCCCCTCTAACCCTAACACTCACACACATGATATCCCAAACACTAACCCATGCTGTAACCCCAATGTTAACCCTCTCGTTACCCTATTATTAACCCTTTCCTTGCTCTAACAGTAACCTTTCCTTGAGTAAAGGTTGCCCCTTGTTTGCAAACTCACCTCTGTGCCAAAGACAATCTTTCTTGCATCCAAAGACAGCAGCATTGAAGTCCCACCACCAGAACGTCCTCTTGTTGAGTTGGATTGCTCTTCCAGCTCTGCCTTACTGACCTGCGTCTGTCTTGATAGTCATTCTAGTTGTCTGTTCCAAACATTGATTTGAACCCACCAAAGCCTCTAACTTTCTCTCTATGACCATGTAGCTGGGTTCTCCCAAGTTCCATCTTTGATAGTCCTGCTTGGTTATGCATCTGCTTGTAGATAAAATATGCAGAATAGTAATGGGGGGTGTCCAAGAAGAGGTGGAAGTATTATGGGAGTGTTACCCTACAGATGTAGTTGGTTTAGCCTACAAAATGGCTATTAGGCAACATATATTCTATACTTTTATTTATGGCTTATTGATGTCGCTGGTTCTCCCTCAGTTCCTAGCCATAAAATGGCTGATGCCCTAGCACAACCCCCTCCCTCCATACATGTCATAGCCCTCTCCTCTTCTGCCAGTGTTTAATTACTTTCTGTGCTGGCCCAACTCCTCTGCCCCTCCCCTCCCTAAAAAACTGTAGCTGCCAATGGTGTGAACGGAGTGAAAGTGAATACTATAGTGTGTCACGTGAGTGACAGCTCTGAGTCTGCTGGGGCTGCCCACATCACATCCATGTTAAATGCACATAAAATCTTAATGGAAGATTGTTATTAAAATAAATGGCCAGGCGACAGGCTCTCTTTAAAGTGTGCATGTGCCTATGGACATTAAATCATTTACATATTCTCAACCAACAGTAAAAGACCTTTAAAACAAACCTTAACCCAAGCACAAACTCACCTCTCTAGCTGCTTGTACTGTGAAGTTATTCATTCTCAAAGATCCTCAAAAAAAGAACAAATGACAATAAAGTCAATTTCAGACAGTTTCTAGCAGTTTAGAAACATCTGCGTTGTGTTTAGATTATTAGGCCCACAGGCTGGCAAAATGTTGCTCCTCATACACAGTAAAGTGGAAAAGACATGCGATTTTGGTGCCTTTGTTGTGAACGTTGATGCATTTCTCCATGATGACTATAGCTACAGAGGTGTATGAGGGCTTGCTTTAAAGTGTTTCCCCGCATGTTCAGAATATGTGAGTATTTTATAGTCCATAGTCTGCACATAGGTTCATTTTTAATATGTTAAGATTATTCCGTTTTAGATGTTTGCTTTGGGTTTGGCATCAGTATCAGATTACTCAACACGCATTGCTGTAACTCTACTTTCATTTTCGGTATGACCTTTAGTATAAGCCGAAAACCACCTGGCAATGTTTAATCACACATTATCTATAGTGGAGTTATTCAATAATACATATACAGTAATAAAAGCATTACAGAGACAGCCATGCTGAAGGCGGAACTGATCCTTCTTAAAAGTGCTTTGGTGATGTCACTAGTCTCTAGTGAATGGAATGACTGGTTTTTCAAGGATAGTCAGTATCATGATGAAAAGATTCTGAAGTATGATCTTTTCTTGATGCCCATAGGAAGGAATCAACCTTCAACCATTCACACTTATAGTACCAGGATTTGTCTAGTTGCTATAGGCAACACAAATGGTTGTTTCTTAAATTGTTGACTTTACATCTACTAAGTCGTTAGAAGACAGAGAAGATGAGATTGGGCCCACCTTCTCCTTCCCTCATCAATGTTTGTCCATCATGATGATATGTGACCTCTTAGTAAGGCATGATAACCCATAATAAGGCATGGAAGGTGAAAGGTCCCAGCTGAGCTTAAAGTGAACGTAGGCCAGTGTTACGGGTGACACCTCTGGCAGGTAATGGAGGTTCACCCAAGCCACGGAATCTAAGTGACAACTTGGTCTTCACCACAGCACCTCACAAGGAGTGATGGGCCAGTGATCCTAGTGGCTCCCAAGCTGAAACCAAGTCATGGCCCTCAGGATCGTTCCATTGAGGGGTCACAGAAGAAGGATGACTACGCTGTGGAGACAGGTTAGGAGATACCAGAAGGTCAGAGTCCAAGAATAGCAGGGCCATCATCGAGGGCAGGAGACAGGCAATACGGGTGGACAACAGGAAAAGCAAAACAAAAATGGCAAAGTAACATGCAGGGTAACTGGTAAGAAAACACAACACCACCCACCAGAAAGGAAGGTAATTAAATACCCCCAAAGCAGTGCGCAAACCCAGTGCCAGGGTTGCACGCCAATACACCCCTATGCGTGCGATCAATCATAGCCAAAACGCCATGAGCCGGAGGGCATGCTGTAGACAGACAGAACAAGCCATGCCCATGAAGGTACATACACGGGTGCTAA